TCACCAGCAACACAAACAAACGCTGTAAATCCACGCTGCTATGGCGCTAAATGCACCACGCACAACACGAAAGAAAAGTCACGTGGAGGTTGTGGTGGTGGTGGTGGTGGTCATCGCGCACGTCACGGTGACGAGCGAGCGCTTCAGAAGGTGAACACGTGGGGTGCCGTCCACGCTGGTACAGAGAGGGGCTTGTCCGGCTCCCCAGCGTTCGGAGAAGACGCGTACATCACCGACATGTGTGTGGTACATGGCGTGCTCCAGCCGGAGGGGACATATCCCTTCCGATATTCAAATATGCTCAAAATGTCCCCCCCCCCCTCCCCAATATATTGCTATAAATAAAATCAGAATCAGAAAGGGTTTTATTCGCCACGAAAGTTCACACAGACACGGAATTTACTTTGGCAGGATGGTGCATACATTCAACATATAGAAATCTAAAATCTTAAATAAGTGGTAAACAAGTCTTACAATAATAAGGATTCAAAGTCTAACTAACATCAAGGGGCATAAGATACAATCTTAAAATAAATAAAATAAAATACAAATATGGTAACATAGTTAATATTGGCAAGGTGTCATTTTGTAGATAAAATGTTAAAGTCAGTGTAAGCCCTTGGCCTTGTTTAACAGGCCAGCAGCAGATGGGAAGAAACTGTTTTTATGGCGTGAGGTTTTGGTCCTGATGGGCCGCAGCCTTCTGCCGGAGGGGAGTAGCTGGAACAGTGTCCAGGGTGGGAGGAATCGGCCACAATCTTCCTCGCTCGCCTCATGGTCCTCGTGGTGTGCAGGTCCTCGAGGGTTGGTAGATTGCAGGCAATTGCAGGCAAATGATTGCTATGCTATGTAAATAAAAACAACAATTTGCTCAACCTTTGGCCACAATATCTGGACTTCATATAAATCAATGCATAGATTTATGTTTATATTATTGTGGTTATGGTTGCAATCTATTAATCCCTAATCTCCGCCATTACATACAATGAAACAAGAAATGGTAAAAAAATAAAAAAGTAAAAACAGAGGAATGTAAATACAATACACTATTAGACATTATTGTAAATAAATAAATAAAAATGCCATACCATGTGTTGGTGAATGTTTCAATATTTTAGGCAGGAAATGAGTTTTCAGACACCCTGGAAGATTTGGTCCCCCCCCCCCCCCCCCCCCCCCCCCCCCCCCCCCCCCCTCCGTGTTAATTCCATAGCTACCGCTTTGGCCATAATTAAACAGAAGTTGTGTTAAGATGTTAAAACACCAAACTGAAACCGTTTGCAGGGAATCGTGGTGTCACTGCGTACACCAGAGCGTGGTTTATTTTTGTTTGCATGCTCACCACAAGCACCGTGTGTGGATAATGCAGCGACGTGATTCATTGAACAGGGTTTCGTTTGGTGTTTTAACATCTTAACACCACCTGTTTTATTGCCAGAAAGGGTTAAACCTATTCTCATATTTTGACACTAATGTGTGTTAGGCGATGACCAGAAAGGCGGATGACAAAATGGGACCATTTTTTTGCCATTATCAAAGTATGAAAAAAATAATAGTTTTTTACCCTTTCTGGCCATAATAAAAATAGTACACTACATATTCTTGGTTCTTTCGGTAAAGTCACGTAGAAGGGAAACAATAACATTATAAAAAATAACATAAAAAATGTTATTGTTTCCCTTCTACGTGACATTACCGAAAGAACCAAGAATATGAATCCCTGCAGTCACGAAAGCTTCAAATCAAAATTTAGTACACTACATTTTAGACTACACTATAACTGTAGTTGTGTAGCTGTGGGTTTAACTCTCCGACACAGAACCAGTGTGCTGCACTAGTACACTACACTATAGACTACACTATAATTGTAATTGTGTAGCTGTGGTTTAATCTCTCCAACACGACCGGTGAGTGCTGAAATCAGTAAATAATTGACCACGTGTGGTGGGGGTGGTGGCGGGTTTATCAAAACAACATTCATATTTGCGGGATCTAACCCCCCCCCCCCAAAAAAAACTATTTTGTTTGTGGATAAGAAAGTTCGTGGATAAAAAAAGTTCGTGGATAAAAAAGTTCGTGGATAAGAAAGTTCGTGGGTAAGAAAGTTCGTGGATAAAAAAGTTCGTGGGGAAGAAAGTTTGTGGATAAGAAAGTTTATGGATAAAAAAGTTCGTGGATAAAAAAGTTCGTGGGTAAGAAAGTTCGTGGATAAAAAAGCCCGTGGGTAAGAAAGTTCGTGGGTAAGAAAGTTCGTGGGTAAGAAAGTTCGTGGATAAGAAAGTTCGTGGATAAAAAAAGTTCGTGGGTAAGAAAGTTCGTGGGTAAGAAAGTTTATGGATAAGAAAGTTCGTGGGTAAGAAAGTTTATGGATAAGAAAGTTCGTGGATAAAAAAGTTCGTGGATAAGAAAGTTCGTGGATGAGAAAGTTCGTGGATAAGAAAGTTCGTGGATTAGAAAGTTCGTGACTGCTGTACATGTTCTCGTCACCAACATGTCCCATAGTGACCCATTGACCGCGCCGTATTTAATTATCTTGACGCTAAATTAAATTGCGTTGAAGATGTAACAGCTGCCCGCAAGGGGGCAGCCAAAGAGCCGCGAGGGGGCAGCCAAAGAGTCGCTAGAGTCAACAACAACATCAACAACATCATCATCAACATCAACAACATCAACAACATCATCATCATCAACAACATCAACAACAACATCATCAACAACAACATCAACAACAACAACATCAACATGTTCCGTGTCAATAACAATCTCCAAAATTAAAATATATAACGGGCGACGTTTCGGGCAATGGCCCTTCTTCAAATCACAAATTGTATGCGCTCTGAAGGAGCGCCATTGCCCGAAACGTCGCCTGTCATATATTCCTCCCTCCCCGCCACGTGTTTTGTGTGCTGAGTTTCTGCCATTGTCATCACCGAGACCACGTGGCGGCTCGTGCTGATGATGCAGCTTTGTTTGTAAACACGGAGCTCATTAATTATTCATGAGGTAGGAGGGAGGAGCAGGGGGCGTGTCTACTCGCTCGTTCTGACCAATGAGCGCATTCGGACACCTCAACACCCCACTCCTCCCCACATCTCATTAACATAACTCCACCTCCCCCCAAGCCAAGACGGTGACGTCACCGGGGTCGACCCCCCCTTCCCTCAGACGTTGCGGTGACGTCACCGTCTCTTGGGGCTCTTTTTATGAATATTAATTAGGTGCGCGGGGACGTAGTGATTATGGGCGGGGCTATAACGCGAGCTGGTGGTGACGTCGCCCTCTTAAATATTAATTAGGCGGGAAATATGAATAAATTAGAAACGTGCATTTAGATTATTCAGCATTACTGCAATAAATGTCCCCACGTTAAGTCGCTTCTGAAAAATAAGTTCATATCTCGGTGGGCCTTATATCTGCTGAGATGAAAATCGTTGTGTTTATTTGTACATATTCTTGGTTCCTTCGGCAAAGTCACGTAAATATAAAACAAAAATACATAAATAAAAAAGTTGCTTTTATTATTATTTTAAACTAATTATTTAAAGTAAAATTTTCTTATCGTAATTTTATTATTTTACTTATTTTTATTTTTCTATTTCCTTGACTTCACCGAAAGAACCGAGAATATGAATTCCTGCAGTCACGAAAGTTTTAAGTCAAAAAATTATTTGTACACATTTATTTTTACGGATTTTTTTTGCGGATAATTTAAGTGGCGCGTGCTGAATATTCATGAGGTGGGCGGGGCTTCGCGTGGTGGGCGGGACTTGTGCGCCCCATTGTGGTCAGCGACCGATGGGGGACGTCATCGCCTGGGTCGCGTAATCCTGAATATTAATTGTGGGGGCGGAGTTCTGCGAGGTGGGCGGGACTTATGTGGTGACGTCACCGCGTAGCGGGGAAGTACTGAATATTAATGAGGGGGGTGGGACTTCACTGCGGTTCGCGCACACGCGACTGTTGGGTTGGGGGCGGTGTCGGGGGGAGGCGATGACATCACCGCCTAGCGGTCTATACTGAATATTCATTAGGGGGGAGGGGCTTCACGGCGGCGGAGAGGGAGGGGTGGGGAGATGACATCACCACCACAACGCGGCCGATCGCTTCGAAAACCGCACAACGGATAAGCCTCGCGCGCGATCCGATTGGCCGCGCGCGCTCAGCCAATCCGCACTAAGAAATACAAAACGCGATTCACCCCGCCCCGCCCCCTAGCGGCCCCTCCCCCCCAACTCCCCCCTGCCCCGCCCCCCCAAACGGCCCCTCCCCCCCAACTCACCCCCGCCCCGCCCCCCCTAGCGGCCCCTCCCCCCCAACTCACCCCCGCCCCGCCCCCCCTAGCGGCCCCTCCCCCCCAACTCACCCCCGCCCCGCCCCCTCCCTCAACACCCCCCCCCCCACACAAAATGGCCGCCCTTGTTTACGAGTCTTGGTTGCGTCTCGCTTGAGCGGGAGAGGCGGGCGGCTGGCGGCTGAGGGAGGCGACGTTTCGGCTCCCGATCCTTTCGCAGGGCGGCTCGCTCAACACCTCGGCGGGGGGCGGGGGACGGGAGCCGGAGGCCGGGGGTTTGAAGGCGGCTGAGCGCTCGCGACGCGATGGAGGCTTCGCGAGGCCTACTCGCAGCGTCCGGGCTGCAACAGCAGGAGGAGAAGGGAGATGGAGGTGGTGGAGGTGGTGCTGGAGGTGGTGGTGGTGCTGGAGGAGGTGGTGGTGCTGGAGGAGGTGGTGGTGCTGGAGGAGGTGGTGGTGCTGGAGGAGGTGGTGGTGCTGGAGGAGATGGTGGAGGTGGTGGTGGTGGAGGAGGAGGAGGTGGTGGTGGAGGAGGTGGTGGTGGTGATGGAGCAGGAGGTGGTGGTGGAGGCGTTGGAGGTGGTGGTGGTGATGGAGGTGGTGATGGAGGTGGTGCTGGAGGTGGTGATGGAGCAGGAGGTGGTGATGGAGCAAGAGGTGATGGAGGCGTTGGAGGAGGTGGTGGTGGAGGCGTTGGAGGAGGAGGTGATGGAGGAGGCGTTGGAGCAGGAGGTGGTGATGGAGGAGGCGTTGGAGCAGGAGGAGGTGATGGAGGAGGCGTTGGAGGTGATGGCCGTGGTCCCGGCTCCAACTCGGACGCGGACTTCTTTGCCCCGCAGGCCCGCCCCAGGTCGTGTACGTGGCCTCTGCGGCGGCCCGAGGCCGACGAGACGGAGGAGGCCTCGCTCGAGTCGCCGGCGGCCGAAGACGACGACGAAGAAGAAGAAGAAGACGACGACGAGTTGGACGACGACGATGGTGGTGGTGGTGGTGATGGCACCCCGAAGCTCCAGAGGATAACGACGACCACCTCTCAGCCTCCTCCTCCTGCCGCCACTGGTCCTGGAGTCGAACCTGGGACGTGTGGAGGTGCAGGAGGAGGAGGAGGAGGCGCGGTGGTGTTGATGGTCGTAGCAGCACCAGCTGCTGCTGCTGCTGCCGCCGACGTGATGATGATGGGAGCCGTGGGGTCGATGTCTGCTCCTGGGAGTGTTCTGTCACCTCGAGGGCACCTCCTGTCTGCTGCCGTGGGAACGGCCACCCCCCCAGGTGCTGTCGCATCCGTGGCGCCTGCCTCTGCGGGTCCTGTAGGGTCTGCTGCTGCTGCTGCATCTGTAAGCTCTGCTGGTGCCGCCGCGTCTGTAGGATCTGCTGGTGCCGCCGCGTCTGTAGGATCTGCTGGTGCCGCCGCGTCTGTAGGATCTGCTGGTGCCGCCGCGTCTGTAGGATCTGCTGGTGCCGCCGCGTCTGTAGGATCTGCTGGTGCCGTCGCGTCTGTAGGATCTGCTGGTGCTGCTGCATCTGTAGGATCCGTTGCTGCATCTATAGGATCTACTGCTGCATCTGTAGGATTTGCCGGTGCTGCCGCATCCGTAGGATCTGCCGGTGCCGCCGTAGGATCTGCCGGTGCCGCCGTAGGATCTGCCGGTGCCGCCGTAGGCCTCGGCACCGTCACCACCGGCACGGCGGTGCCGCCGGGCCTGGCGGTGGTGGCGGTGCCGCCGCGCAAGACGTCTTCGAGGCGTAACGCGTGGGGCAACCTGTCCTACGCGGAGCTCATCACGCACGCCATCGAGAGCACGCCCGACCGGAGGCTCACGCTGGCGCAGATCTACGAGTGGATGGTGCGGAGCGTGCCCTACTTCCGCGACAAGGGCGAGAGCAACAGCTCGGCCGGGTGGAAGGTGAGGTTGGTTGCGGGCGCCTCGACTTAGCAAACGCCCGGCGTAACGAACGCCCCGTACTTACGCAACGCCTCCGTCTTGCGGACGCCCGAGTTGCGAACCCCGTGTACTTTCCAACACCCGTGCTTAACAAACGCCCGGCATAACGAACGCCCCCGTACTTACGCAACGCCTCCGTCTTGCGGACGCCCGAGTTGCGAACCCCGTGTACTTTCCAACACCCGTGCTTAACAAACGCCCGGCATAACGAACGCCCCGTACTTACGCAACGCCTCCGTCTTGCGGACGCCCGAGTTGCGAACCCCGTGTACTTTCCAACACCCGTGCTTAACAAACGCCCGGCATAACGAACGCCCCCGTACTTACGCAACGCCTCCGTCTTGCGGACGCCCGAGTTGCGAACCCCGGCACTTTCCAACACCCGTGCTTAACAAACGCCCCGCATAACGAACGCCCGTACTTACGCAACGCCTCCGTCTTGCGGACGCCCGAGTTGCGAACCCCGTGTACTTTCCAACACCCGTGCTTAACAAACGCCCGGCATAACGAACGCCCGTACTTACGCAACGCCTCCGTCTTGCGGACGCCCGAGTTGCGAACCCCGTGTACTTTCCAACACCCGTGCTTAACAAACGCCCGGCATAACGAACGCCCCGTACTTACGAACAACCGTATTTATGAACACACACACACACTTACTAACCGCGTAACCTACGAACACACACTAACGCCCGTACTTGCGAACACATACACTTGCTAACATCCACACTTAAGTTAGTTGCTATAGACGTTCAACATACATACATACACTGCAATACGCACTACGCTATATACTACGCTATATACTACGATACACTACACTGCGATACACTGCTATACACTACACTATAAATTGAAAATGAATTTCATTTATTTATACCAGAGGAATCCGAAGAGCTTTGAAGCTTTTTTTTTCACAGATGTCCAGTAGGGGCACGGGTGTCAGAACGTTACAACAGCAAACGATACGCAAAATCGTTTTAAAAAAAATATATATCTAAATATCTAGACTTTTTATCTACCAGGCAAAGCCCACTGAGGTATTAACTTATTTTTCAGAAGCGACCTGGCCACAAAATGATAGTTCAACAAAGTGGCTTACCATCTGCAAATGTTTACCTAAAAAGGATTTATTTTGGCTTAGATCACGTAAATATAAAATGTGTCATCAAACCCGCCACCACCCGGCATAGCCAATTGGTAAGGGGTTTGTCACGTAAACATAACATGGCCAATTCGTTACTAGTACAGCACTAACTGGTTGCGTGTTGGAGAGTAAACCCACTACAACGTTTACAATTATAGTGTAGTGTATAGTGCAGTGTATAATAGTGTATAGTGTAGTATATTGTGTAGTGTATAGTTGAGTAGTGTGTCATGCAGTTTGTTGTATCGTGTAGTGTATATGAGTATACAGTGTAGTGTATAGTGAAGTGTATAGTATTGTATAGTGTAGTGTATGGTATTGAGTAGTATAGTGAAGTATAGTAGGTTTTTAAACAGGCGATGGGTTCGCGCACCGGGCCCTTCACGGTAGGCGAGAGGCCGCTGATTAGAATGCGGGTTTAAATGTTAAGGTCATGACGAAGACTGACCCAATGTGTTGTTGGGTGACCTCTGGTGCCTGTGCTTTCCAGTCAAAGGTGGGAGGGCTGGTGTCTGCCATATGCGCGGGTGTGTATTGTAGTGTGTATCGTAGTGTGTAGTGTATAGTGTAGTGTGTATTGTAGTGTATAGTGTAGTGTGCATTGTAGTGTGTAGTGTATAGTGTAGTGTGTATTGTAGTGTATAGTGTAGTGTGCATTGTAGTGTGTAGTGTAGAATGTAGTGTATAGTGTAGTGTGTATTGTAGTGTATAGTGTAGTGTGTATTGTAGTGTATAGTGTGTGCATTGTAGTGTGTAGTGTAGAATGTAGTGTATAGTGTAGTGTGTATTGTAGTGTATAGTGTAGTGTGCATTGTAGTGTGTAGTGTAGAATGTAGTGTATAGTGTAGTGTGTATTGTAGTGTATAGTGTAGTGTGTATTGTAGTGTATATCTTAGTGTATAGTGTAGAATGTAGTGTGTAGTGTAGTGTGTATTGTAGTGTGTATCGTAGTGTGTAGTGTAGAATGTAGTGTAGTGTGTATTGTAGTGTATAGTGTAATGTGTATTGTAGTGTATATCTTAGTGTAGAATGTAGTGTGTAGTGTAGTGTGTATCTTAGTGTATAGTGTAGAATGTAGTGTGTAGTGTAGTCGCATTGTAGTGTATAGTGGTGTGTTTATTGTAGTGTGTAATGTAGTGTGTATTGTAGTGCATAGTGTAGTGTGTATTCTAGTTTATAGCGTAGTGTATTTCATAGTGTGTATTGTAGTGTATAGTGTAGTGTGTATTATAGTGTATAGTGTCGTGTGTATTGTAGTGTATAGCGTAGTGTGTATTGTAGTGTATAGTGTAGTGTGTATTGTAGTGTATAGCGTAGTGTGTATTGTAGTGTATAGCGTAGTGTGTATTGTAGTGTGTAGTCTAGTGTGTATTGTAGTGTATAGTCTAGTGTGTATTGTAGTGTATAGCGTAGTGTGTATTGTAGTGTATAGCGTAGTGTGTATTGTAGTGTATAGCGTAGTGTGTATTGTAGTGTATAGCGTAGTGTGTATCATAGTTTGTATCGTAATGTGTATTGTAGTGTCGATTGTAGTGTATCGTGTATTATGTTAAACTCCTTTCGCGCCATACGTAGCCAACTGCGCTGATCGGAGGTGCGGTTGAAGGACAACAAACGAACACAAGAACAACAACAAGCAGTTATAAATAAATTAGTTTGTTAATCCGGATGATTTAAAAGTGCATAGCTCCGGTGGCTTCCGAATATCGGAAGGAAGGATGAGCGTTACAGATGGCTGCAGAAGCGCATCTGAAAGTGCCGCGCGGTGATGCGGTGACCACCGTCTTGGTTCAACGGCCAGCCAAAAGTTTAGTGTATAGTCATGTATAGTGTAGTGCATAGTATCGTATATTGTAGTGAATACTGTAATATGTAGAAGTGTAAAGTAGCGTGTGGTGTAGTGTATAGTGTAGTGTATGGCAGTGTGTAATATAGTGTATATTGTGTAGTGTAGTGTATAGTGTAGGGTATAGTAGTGTAGTGTATAAAGTAGTGATAGTGTCGTGTGTAGTGTAGTATGGTGTAGTGTGCAGTATAGTATATGGCAGTGTGTAGTATAGTGTAGTGTATTTTGTATATTGTAGTGTATAGCAGTGTATAGTGTAGGGTATAGTAGTGTATAGTGTAGTGTATATTGTATAGTGTATAGCAGTGTATAGTGTAGGGTATAGTAGTGTATAAAGTAGTGATAGTGTCGTGTGTAGTGTAGTATGGTGTAGTGTGCAGTGTAGTGTATAGAGTGTAGTGTATAGTGTAGTGTGTACATCATCTGGCAGCGCACGACTGCTGATACAAAAGCCGCTGCTGCTGCTGCGAGGATGACTGGCGGGTGTCGTATGATGATGGTTTATAGCTCCTTGATGGGATCAGCAGCGAGGTAGTGTGTGAGTGTGTGGTTAGTTTCTGGCTAGCGCTTCGTGTGTTGTTGACCTATAAATTACGGTCGGTCGTGTAGCTTCGTTTTATTTATAACCAGGCGAGAAACCCGAGGAGCCTAGATTGTAATCATTTGAAACGGTCACTTGGGTTACCAATGTGATAAAAAAAAAACAATTATATAACAATAAAAAAAATACAAAGTAAAAACCTTGGATTGCGAGTAACTTGGTCTGCGAGTGTTTTGCAAGACGAGCAAAAAATTTAAATAAATTTTAACTTGATAAACGAGCGAGAGGGTCTTGCAATACGAGTAGTGTACGTGTAGACACGCTTTGTCTGCCGAGCGTCACGTGATCACACAACTGATATATACTTGGAGTGCTTTGATGTACGAGTGCTTTAGATTACAAACACGTTTCCGGAACGAATTATGCTCCTCGCAATCCAAGGTTTTTTTTTTACTGTGTATTCTTTGATTCTTTCGGTAAAGTCGCGTAGTTAGAAATCAAATTGAACAAATCGCAGCACAAGCGACGACCGCTTGTGTTGCGATCAAAACGTCGTGATTTGTTTTATTTGATTTTATTTTCTACCCACTGCGCGACTTTACCGAAAGAACTAAAGAGTATGGATTCCTGCAGTCACGAAAGCTTCAAATCAAGAATACAAAAATATATACAAACGTAAAGGTCCGTGTTCGCCAGGCAAATGTTTTCATTGAATATAATAATAATTTCATTGAATATAATAATTAAAGAGTATGGATTCCTGCAGTCACGAAAGCTTCAAATCAAGAATACAAAAATATATACAAACATAAAGGTCCGTGTTCGCCAGGCAAATGTTTTCATTGAATATAATAATAATTTCATTGAATATAATAATTAAAGAGTATGGATTCCTGCAGTCACGAAAGCTTCAAATCAAGAATACAAAAATATATACAAACATAAAGGTCCGTGTTCGCCAGGCAAATGTTTTCATTGAATATAATAATAATTTCATTGAATATAATAATTAAAGAGTATGGATTCCTGCAGTCACGAAAGCTTCAAATGAAGATTACAAAAATATATACGAACATAAAGGTCCGTGTTCGCCAGGCAAATATTTTCATTGAATATAATAATAATTTCATTGAATATAATAATTAAAGAGTATGGATTCCTGCAGTCACGAAAGCTTCAAATCAAGAATACAAAAATATATACAAACATAAAGGTTCGTGTTCGCCAGGCAAATGTTTTCATTGAATATAATAATAATTTCATTGAATATAATAATTAAAGAGTATGGATTCCTGCAGTCACGAAAGCTTCAAATCAAGAATACAAAAATATATACAAACATAAAGGTCCGTGTTCGCCAGGCAAATGTTTTCATTGAATATAATAATAATTTCATTGAATATAATAATTAAAGAGTGGATTCCTGCAGTCACGAAAGCTTCAAATCAAGAATACAAAAATATATACAAACATAAAGGTCCGTGTTCGCCAGGCAAATGTTTTCATTGAATATAATAATAATTTCATTGAATATAATAATTAAAGAGTATGGATTCCTGCAGTCACGAAAGCTTCAAATCAAGAATACAAAAATATATACAAACATAAAGGTCCGTGTTCGCCAGGCAAATGTTTTCATTGAATATAATAATTAACCTGTGATTTTTCTTATGCGGTTTGTATCTGCGATCAGACCACTTAACAGCTACTCCAAACATTTGATATTTAACCAGCAAAAAAAATACACAAAAATTGTCGACGACTTGATTCAACTTCTTCTTGGTTAAATTTTGATTTAAAGCTTTCGTGACTGCAGTAATTCATATTCTTAGTTTTTTCGGTAAAGTCACCACGTAGAAGGGAAACAATAAAATAATAAAAATATTTTTAAAAAATGCTCACGACGTTTCGACTGCAACACAAGCAATCATCGTCAGGGTGTGAAAACCACAGCAAGAACATTTTTAAAAGTGGCGTTTTTTTTTACGTTAGCACCAAAAAAAAAACGCCACTTTTTTCAAATTTTCTTGCTGTGGTTTTCACACCTGATGATGATTGCTTGTGTTGCGGTCGAAATGTCGTGAGCATTTTATTGTTTTATATTTTTATTATTTCATTGTTTCCCTTCTACGTGGTGACTTTACCGAAAGAACCAAGAATTATGAATCCCTGCAGTCACGATAGCTTTAAATCAAAATTTGATTCAACTTCTTCCAGCTTCATAGATGTGCCCTTTGGAGACCGCTCCATTTCAAGATTCCATTCTTTTTTGTTATCAGAAAGAACAAAAAAGTTAATCAACTTAAATTAGTCTACGAGGGGAAGCTCTGCGAGCTTTTACCATTTTCAAATTATTCGGATGTGAATGTCGAAAGAAATGCGCAACTTTTCCTTGTTCAAAACCGCCGCTTGAATCCGAAATATCTCACAAACGATCAAAGATAGAACCCAACCAACGGTTCTCACTTTAATTTAATTTTCTGTCTAACGCTGTCTAATCAAACGCAATCTTATATTGTGAACGGTTTCTGAATGAACCCAGGCACTGGCGTGTTTACGGGGCACTTACACATCGAGATTTTGGTGCCTTGAAATGAAAAATCTGGGATTTACAGATTTATCTCCCCTGTTATTTGTGTCCTAACAGCTACCTGTGTAGAACATTTGAGCTTTCTACCTTGTCGGCAAGTGCCCGATAAGTTTTCTCTGAGACGTAGAGTTGAAGGTCTTCACTCATATAGATGAGAGGTTGACAATTTACGACGATTAGTTAAAAATAGAGACCATTACATTCACAACTTAACGTTGGCACGTGAATAACGCCAAGGAAATCGCGACCGTACCAGTCAACTTTCAGAACCAGAAGATTTCTTCTGCATGAGGAATCCGGTGTTGCTGCTCTTTGTTCACAGACGTTCAGTTAGGGGCACGGGATGAGAACGTCACAACAACATCAAACACAATGCACACAAACACGACAGCAGTGTAAAGCACAAGAAAGGTGAACATATTCACCCAAACTACATCAGAGATACAACACTAAAACCATTCCCCGTCCATGCAGGCCTCCGAGGTATTTACTTACTTTTGCAGAAGCGAACCCGCTACCACAAGTGATAGCCGCTCAACAAAGTGACCCTCGGCATTCGTACATTTCCAGCGGCGAAATAATGGAGATGTGGGGAGGCCGAGGTGTTCTTTTTTTTCCCGCCGGATGTCACTGAACCCGATGTCCGGATGGTCCTGAAAGAGTTCAACTCATTTGTTTATTTGTCAGATTAATTAGTGGTAGGGTATAAAACAAGAAATGAACCCCAGGCAGGCGCATGTGGCATCCCGTGGGAATGGATTCCTGAATTACATACCAGAGAGAGAGAGAGCACGCAGACAATAGCTAAGGCGCAGCTCTGCAATGGCATGCTCACTCCAGGGTGACGTTGATAATGAATGTGAAGGGAAAAACCAGAGGACCCGGAGACAAATCCACGCGACCACGGGGAAAGAGAGAGAGAGAGACACCGACTCACAAATATACAGGAGCAGACATCAGGGTCGGGATCGAACCCATGAACGCCTGCATACCAGGCGAGGTAGTTAACATCTCCTAGCCACCGTGATGATGATGAGAGAGAGACGCAGACCCCAAATATACAGCAGCAGGCATCGTCAGGGTTAGGATCGAACCCACGACCTCCTGCACACCAGGCGAGGTAGATAACATCTCCTAGCCACCGTAGTGATGATGAGAGAGAAACGCAAACTCTAAATATACAGCAGCAGCCATCGTCAGGGTCGGGATCGAACCCACGACCTCGAGTTGTCAAACGTCACCCTCGAAACCTTAATGACTTGGAGAAGATCTGCAAAGAGGAGTGGGACAAAATCCCTCCTGAGATGTGTGCAAACCTGGTGGCCAACTACAAGAAACGTCTGACCTCTGTGATTGCCAACAAGGGTTTTGCCACCAAATACTAAGTCATGTTTTGCAGAGGGGTCAAATACTTATTTCCCTCATTAAAATGCAAATCAATTTATAACATTTTTGACGTGCGTTTTTCTGGATTTTCTTGTTATTCTGTCTCTCACTGTTCAAATAAACCTACCATTAAAATTATAGACTGAGCATATCTTTGTCAGTGGGCAAATGTACAAAATCAGCAGGGGATCAAATACTTTTTCCCCTCACTGTAGTTAACATCTCCTCGCCACCATGGCGCTATTGTGGTTATAATCATCGCTACAACGCACGATCTGCAACGGTAATATATCTCTATATGGTGGCCATTCATGCAGCATCTCACAATCGCGGAGGAGCCGCAGGCAAAGCTGGCAGGCAGCAGTAGTAGCCAGGCGATCAGGAGCCAGCGCTACCAGAAGTTGCCCCAGCTCTGCTGCCCTCTATATGTTCAGCCATTTTCAGCCAATCGGTGAGCCTTTGTCTGTGGGAGGAAACCGGAGCAACCCGGAGAGAAATCTACGCGTGCAAGGGGACAACACTCTATCCCGCGTACCTGCAGTATATGGTGTGGTGTGTGTAATCTAATCTGTGGGTCTCTTGGTGTGTCTCTGTGGGTCTGGGTGTCTGTGGGTCCTCTGTGTGTGTGTGTGTTGAACTTCTTTCGCGCCGCACGTAGCCAACCGCGCTATTCGGGAGGTGGCGGGGGAAGGACAACAAACTAAACACAACCGGGAGCAGTTCTGTCTCCATTACTGTGATCAATTGTGCATTGTAGTGATGAATACAGCTAATTCTCCCTCCCTGTCTCCCTGTCTCCCTCCTCCATCTCCCTATCTCCTTGTCTCCCTGTCCCTCCCTGTTTCCCTCCCTGTTTCCCTCCCTGTCCCTCCCTGTCCCTCCCTGTCTCCTTCCCTCCCTGTCTCCCTCCCTGTCTCCCTCCCTGTCTCCTCCATCTCCCTGTCTCCCTCCCTGTCTCCCTCCCTCCCTGTCTCCCTCCCTGTCTCCTCCATATCCCTATCTTCCTCCCTGTCTCCCTCCCTCCCTCTCTCCCTCATCTGTCCCTTACTATCTCCCTGTCCCTCGCTGTCTCCCATATCCCTCCCTCCCTGTCCGTCCCTCCCGGTCCCTCACTGTCTCCCTGTCCCTCACTGTCTCCCTCCTTGTCCCTCGCTGTCTCCCTGTCCCTCGCTGTCTCCCATATCCCTCCCTCCCTGTCCCTCCCTCCCTGTCCCTCGCTGTCTCCCTGTCCCTCGCTGTCTCCCGTCTCCCTCCCTCCTTGTCCCTCGCTGTCTCCCTGTCCCTCCCACAGAACTCAATCCGCCACAACCTCTCCCTGCACAGCCGCTTTGTGCGCGTCCAGAACGAGGGGCCCGGCAAGAGCTCCTGGTGGACGGTGAGCGCTCCCGGCGCCTCCGACCCCTCCGCCTCCTCCCCCTCCTCCTCCTCCTCCTCGTCGTCGTCGGCGGCGTCATCCGCCGCCACGTCCACCTCCTCCATCTCCTCGCCGTCGTGCCCCGGCGGAGGGTCGGCGGCGGCGGCCGCGCTGGCGGCCCGGGCGTCGAAACCCGGGCGCCGTCGGGCGACGTCGATGGACGCCAGCAACGGGAAGCTGGCGCGCAGCCGCAGCAAGGCAGCGCGCAAGAAGGGGGCGGCCGCCACCGTGGCCACCACAGCCGCGGCCGCGGCTTCCGCAGGGGTGGTGGGGGGAGCGGCGGCCGCGGCAGGAGCGGCGGGGGGAAGCACTGGAGGAGGGGGGATCCTCTCGTTCTCGCTCGGTGAGTGGCGAGGGGCGAGGGGCGGTGAGCGGCCGCGATGCTCTTGGTGCCACGTACATACGTAATGTGTGTGTGTGTGTGCGTTGAACTTATTTCGCACCGTACGTAGCCAACCGCGCCAATCTGTGGGTCTCTATGGGTCTGGGTGTCTGCGGGTCTCTGGGTCTCTATGGGTCTGGGTGGCTGTGGGTCTCTGTGCGCGTGAAAGTTTGACGTCTTTCGCACCGTACGTAGCTCACCGTGCTAATCTGTGGGTCTCTATTGGTCTGGGTGGCTGTGGGTCTCTGTGTGTGTGCGTTGAACTTCTTTGGCACCGTACGTAGCCTACCACGGTAATCTGTGGGTCTCTCTGGGTCTTGGTGTCTGTGGGTCTCTGTGGTGTATACGTTGAACTTCTTTCGCACCATACGTAGCCAACCGTGCTAATCTGTGGGTCTCTCTGGGTCTCTATGGGTCTGGGTGGCTGTGGGTCTCTGTGTGTGTGTGTGTACGTTAAACTTCTTTCGCACCGTACGTAGCCAACCATGCTAATCGTGGGTCTCTCTGGGTCTCTATGGGTCTGGGTGGCTGTGGGTCTCTGTGTGTGTGTGTGTGTACGTTGAACTGCTTTCGCACCGTACGTAGACAACCGTGCTAATCTGTGGGTCTCTATGGGTCTGGGTGTCTGTGGTTCTCTGGGTCTCTATGGGTCTGGGTGGCTGTGGGTCTCTGTGTCTGTGTCCGTCAAAAACAACCCCCTCCCTCCTCGTTGGTGCCGGACGGCAACGCTGTGGTGAGCAGTGCCGCGGGGGGAGGGCCAATTTAGATTGGCCATTCCCCTCATGGCTTTTGTAACCACCACAGCGGCTAAATGGGGGCTATGGACGGGTGCGATGGGCTGGTAACCCCTCCTCCATCAATGAATTACCACTAAACCACGATTTAAAACTTTCAAGAAGCTTGTGCCGGAGGCCCCAGGGGGACAGGCATCTATGATGTCTCCTGGCCAAACCCCATTTGGCGGAGCCAGGAGACTGAATCCTTACCCTCGGGGCTCCTCCAGAAACAGCAAAAAGCCACTGCGGGTGGTCACGTGGAATGTTCGAACGCTCACTTCGGAGGAGAGGCTGCCACTCCTCTGTTGGGAGCTGGATCGGTACCGCCTGGATCTCTGTGGTATTTAGGAGGTCCGGTGGACCGGCTCTGGCTCCTGCCACCATGAGGGGTGGGACAGTCCTCTACTCGGGGCAGGATACTGCCAAGCAACAGGGAGTGGCTCTTCTTCTGAACAAAATAATGAACGGGGCGTGGGAGCGTGGCGGTGAGGTGTGGGAAGCTGTAAGCCCCAGGCTACTTTGGGTTTGCCTTCCCATCAACCATAGGCGAGGAGTGGTGGTCGTGGTTACTTATGCCCCCACCGAAGACGAACATCCATGGAGGGATGCAGGCAAAGCCGATGAGTCAGATGCCTTCTATGACCTCCTGTCACAGGTGCTGGCTAAAGTGGCTCCTCGGGATAGTCATCTTGTTGAGTGACTTCAGTGCCCGAGTTGGTCGTGATGCTGGCACCTGGTCTGGAGTGATTGGAAGACATGGTGCAAATCAGCTCAATAACAACGGTAGGAGGCTGCAAGATTTGAATGCTGCACCTGGGCTTGTAATTACCAACACGCTGTTCCGGCATCGCCGCATCCACACAACATCATGGATGCATGCCAGGTCCAAGCAAGAACATCTGGTGGACTATATACTGATGGAGCAGCGGATGCGGGCCCATGTCCTTGATACCAGGACCTCCCGTGGAGCTGATCTGCCCACTGACCATCGACTTGTCATCTGTAAGATGCGCCTGCCATTCTCCCACTCCGGTGGTGGATGTACACCCAGGACCCCATTCAAACCCTTAGTGGCATGGTCTCAGCTAGCTGATGAAAGTTGCAAGCGAGAATTTCATCATTGCTTGCAGCTGGGGTTTGCATCGTCTCCCACTCCTGATGTCGAGGGGAAATGGGCGAGGTTTAGGACTGTGTCTCATGCAGCTGCAATGGCTGCTTGGGTTACACGGTCCAGACCTCCCCAGAGACCCTGGCTGACAGAGGAGGTGTTCAGGCTGTCTGAGAAAAGCGACAGGCCCACTCTCATCGTTTACAGCATCCCATGTCAGAGGCTTGTGTAGCGCCAGGCTACTTTGGGCTCGCCCCCACCGAAGACGAACATCCGTGGAGGGATGGAGGCAAGACCGATGAGTCAGATGCCTTCTATGACCTCCTGTCACAGGTGCTGGCTAAAGTGGCCCCTCGGGATAGTCATCTTGTTGGTTGACTTCAATGCTTGAGTTGGTCATGATGCTGGCACCTCGTCTGGAGTGATTGGAAGGCATGGGCCAGATCATCTCAATAACAACGGTAGGAGGCTGCTAGATTTTTGTGCAGCCCATGGGCTTGTAATTACCAACACGCTGTTCAGGCATCGGTGCATCCACACATCATGGATGCATGCTGGGTCCAAGCAAGAACATCTGCTAGACTACTTAATGACGGAACAGCGGATGCGGGCCCATGTCCTTGACACCAGGACCTACCGTGGAGCTGATCTGCCCTCTGACCATCGACTAGTCATCTGTAAGATGCGCCTGCCATTCTTCCACTCCGGTGGTGGGTGTACACCCAGGACCCCATTCCAACCTAAAGTGGCCTGGTCTCAGTTATCTGATGAAAGTTGCATGCGAGAATTTCATCTTTGCTTGCTGCTGGGGTTGGTATCGTCCCCCACTCCTCCTGATGTCGTGGGTAAATGGGCGAGGTTTAGGACTGTGACTCATGCAGCTGCAATGGCTGCTTTGGGTACACGGTCCAGACCTCCCCAGAGACCCTGGCTGACAGAGGAGGTGTTCAGGCTGTCTGAGAAAAGCGACAGGCCCACTCTCATCGTTTACAGCATCCCATGTCAGAGGCTTGTGGTTTCAGAAAAGGGTGGTCCTGCACAGATGCCATCTTTTCTATCCGCCTGCTACAACAGAGGTGTAGGGAATTCCAAAATGACTTACATCTCTGCTTTATTGACCTGGTCAAGGCCTATGATACCATCAGTAGGCCTGGGCTCTGGGTTGTTCTTCGTGCTTTCGGAGTCCCTGACCCGCTGCTCACGATAATTAAGGACCTGCATGAAAGTGAGCGGGCCTTGGTAAAACTACATGGCCGGGAGTCGGAGCCATTCCCTGTTCACTTTTGGTTGCGTAACGCTGTGTGGAAGCTACCTGGTCTATCACTCCGCACGAAGCTTCAGGTCTTGTCGGCAACGGTCATTCCCTCCCTTCTGTACGCTTGCGAACCGTGGACCCCCCTAATGGAACATCTTCGCCAGTTAGAAACATTTAGGCTGGCCTGCCTACGATCCATCCTGGGTTTAACCAGGCTGAATTGTGTGAGGAGCTCACAAATCATTGAAAGATGTGGACAAAGTCCCATCGGTGAGCTCCTCCGGCAGGCAAGGCTGAGTTGGCTGGGTCATGTAGCCCGCATGCCCAGCCACCGCATGCCGAAACAGCTTTTGTTCGGCCGGATCGAGGGGGCTAAATGGGCACGGCACGGGCTAGATAAGAGATGGAGTGATGTGGTACAGGAGGACGTGTAGCTGAGTGGGCTTGCCGATGACTGGTACCAGCGGTGTCAAGATCGGCCTCTGTGGAGGAGGCTCGTGAAGGACGCTACTGGGCAGTTGGAGGCAGGCGCCCTCCAACGACAATGGAGGGGGGAGGAGCGGGGCGCCGGGTGGCTAAAGCACAGCAGGTTGGCACAGGGGGCACAGGTGGTGCATCAGCCAGTCATCTCAGTCAGTCGACCCGTGGCACCTGGGTCTGCCCCGTGACCTCCTGCCAGCGGGCGTTCGACACTTCACGTGGCCTCAAGGTGCACATAGCCTGGCACAAGCGTCGCGGTGACATCACCGCCACTTAGTGGCGAATGGCGGTTGCTGTTGTCGTGTACGTTGAACTTCTTTCTTTCACACCGTGCTCACCTGTGGCTCTGTGTGGGTCTGTGTGGGCGTGGGTGTCTGTGCGGTAACCGTCTTGGTACGATGGCCAGCCAGATGCCGCAGCTACTGCCAGGATGATGACCGGAGTTTGTGTGCCTCTAACCTGCCTTGGCACCTCACCCCCCCCCCCCTCCACCACCTCACCTCACCTCACCCCCCCCCCCCCCCCACCACCACCTCACCCAACCCCCCGACCTCGTAGACACGGGGGGCCCCGGCCCGCCGGACGATCTGGACGCGTGGACGCAGTTCCGCACGCGCGCCAGTTCGGACGCCAGCACGCTGAGCACGCTGAGCGCGGGGGGCGTGGGGGGAGGGGGGAGCGGTAGCGGTGGGGGCGGAGGTGGGGGGCCCCTCTCCCCCGCGCCCGCCCGCCGCAAGCGCGACTCCTCCGACCTGGACGACGACTACGACGACTACGACGACTACGACGGAGACTTCGGCGGCGGGGGCGGCGGCGGCTCGCTGCTGCCGGATCTGTCGGCCATGGACCACCACCACCACGACCACCGCCACCGCCACCACCACCACCACCGCCGCCTCGACGACGAGGAGGAGGAGGAGGGTGGCGGCCGTTGCGACGACGCCGACGACGACGAAGCCATGGTGACGGCCGGCTGCGCCGAGCAGGCCCTGGGCTTCGGTGGCACGCGGGCCGAGTTGGCCGACCGCCACCACCGCCACCGCCACCACCACCACCACGACGACGGCGACGACCAGCACGAGCTGGGCTTCGGCCTCAACGAGGCCATGATGGACGAGCTGCTCGACTCGCTGAGCCTCTCCCTGCAGCAGCAGCAGCAGCAGCAGCAGCACAACTCGGCGGCGGCGTTGGCCGCGGCGTCGCCGCCGCCGCCGCCGCCGCCGCCGCCGTCGTCGCTGGCCGCGGCCATGCTGATGCTGGACGGCGACGACGAGCCGCGGATGAACAAGGCGATGCTCACGCACGCCGACCCGCTCATGTCGCAGGCGACGCCGAACCTCGGCCGCCACCTCCAACTCCACCACCACCACCAGCAGCAGCAGCAGCTCCACCACCACCACCACCAGCAGCAGCAGCAACAGCAACAGCAGAGGCAGCAGCAGCAGCAGCAGCAGCAGCTGCTGCTGCTCCACAAGCAGCAGCAGAGGATGGCGGAGCTGTCGGCGTCGTCCCTGCCGTCGGCTCCGAGCCACCTGGGCAACGCCCTCTCCTCGCCCGCCTTCCACAAGGCCGCCACGGGCCCCTTCTCCTCGTCGCTGCCCAACGGCGACGCGGGCTTCACGCAGCAGCAGCAGCAGCAGCAGCAGCTGCTGAATCACCACCAGCAGCAGCAGCAGCAGCAGCAGCCGAGGTTCCCGTGCGACCTCGACGTGGAGATGTTCAACGGGAGCCTCGACTGCGACGTCGACTCGATCATCCACAGCGAGCTGCTGCTCGATGGCGCCGGCTTCGAGTTCTCCTTCGACTCGGCGCCGTCGCCGGACGGCTCCTCGCTGGCCGGCGGCGGCAGCGGCGGCGCTCACAAGAACTGGCTCAGCGGCTGAGGGCGGGCGCCGGCAGGGCTGGGGGCGCCGGCGGGGTTGGCGACGGAGGCCCGGACCGCGAGACGGCACCGGCCACGAAAATCGACCCGCCCCCCCCCCCAGGGGTGAGGGCTTGGAATTGGAGGTGGAGGGGGGGTGGGGGGGGGGGGTGGCGGTTGGGGAGAGGGGGGGGGGGAGCTGGGGGGGCCGCGCTCGCCGTGGTTGCCGTGGTTGCCGTGGTTGCCGTGGTTGTAGCGCCGGGGATGTCGGTACCGCGCGGGCGGCCCGGTGCTGAACCAACGCTTGGCTGGTGCGAGGAATGACACGGTGGGGGTGGGTGGGGGGGTGTTTGGGTGGGTTGGTCATTGGGTGGGTGGTTGGGTGGGTGGGTGGGTTGTTGGGTGGGTTGTTTGGTGGGTGGGTGGGTTGGTCATTGGGTGGGTGGTTGGGTGGGTGGGTTGTTGGGTGGGTGGTTGGGTGGGTCGGTGGGTGGGTCGTTAGGTAGGTGGGTGGGTCGGTGGGTTGGTTCCGTTCACTGCCAAATCTCGGAACGCGCCCAGCGGCTCGCTGTTTATTCTCTCTAGAGAGGCGTGACAGCAGCAGCAGCAGCGCCGCTGTCATTATAAAGACGACGTTACTCACCGCAGAGAAGCGTCGCCGCGCCTCTGCCGCCCACAGGCGGCAAAAAACTGTGCCACTCGCCCTCCCCGCCACGGCATTGCCGGAGCCCTCGGCACTGCACACACACACACACGCACGCACACACGTACGCACACACGTACACGCACGTACACACGTACACACACACACGCACACACACACGCACACACACACGTACGCACACACGCACACACACGTACGCACACACGTACACGCACGTACACACACACGTACACACACACACGTACACACACACGTACGCACACACGTACACACGCACACACACGTACGCACACACGTACACGCACGTACACACGCACGTACACACGCACGTACACACGCACACACACACACGCACACACACATGTACACACCCACATCATCGGAACGGTAAAGGAGTTTGACGGCCGTGCCGCTGCCAGTGATGGCACAAACCACCCCGCCCCCCCCCCCCCAAATTCTTCGTATCGGTGTGTCGCTTAATTTCGGACGGGGCCGCGGCAGTGCGTGGGCACCCGTGCAGCCCAGGGTGGTGGTTGTGTGGTTGAGTGGGTAGGCGGTTGGGTGGGTGGTTGGATTGGTGGGTGGGCGGTTGGGCAGGCGGGCAGGTGGGCGGGCGGTCGGGTGGGTGGGCGGGCAGGCGGGCGGGCGGTTGGATTTGTGGGTGGGTGGTCGGGTAGGCGGGTGGTTGGATTGGTGGTTGGGTGGGTGGGTGGGTGTGTGGGCGGGTGGGTGGGTAGGGTCCGGGTACTCGTCGACGTGATTATTGAAGCACTCCGAGCCTCAGGGGCGCTCCCGTAGGGGCCTTGTAGATAGGTGCGTCGATCGGCAAACTTCGCGTCGCTCTCGGCGAACCAGCCGGGATCTTTTTTTTAAGTTTCTCGGTGTCCCGGTCGGGCGAACGACTTGCCGAGGGCTTTGCTGTCGGAGGGAATTATGTGGGAGGGACGAGGTGTCGGGGGGGGGGGGGGGGGGGGGCGATGAGGCGGTTGTCGCCCTTTGCTGTCTAGACATTGCCACCCCCTACCCTGTAAAGGCATAGAACTGTGTTTACTTTAGCGTCGTTGTAACCGCGGTTGACGGGGGGGGGGCGGGGCCTCTGGGCGACTTCGCCGTCACCCAGGCTGACGCATTGTCAGCGGTGCTGTGTGTACGTTGAACTTCTCTCGCGCCGTGCGTAGCCAACCGCGATAATCGGAGGTGCGGCGGAGGGTCGGGTCGGGTCGGGTGGGGTGGGTGGGGTGGGTGGGGGGGGGTTTGGAAGGACGGCAAACTAAACATGAAAGAAAGAGCAGCTCTAGAGAAATGAGTATCTCAATCTACATTCGAAAGCGCACAGCCCCATTTCCGATGGAAGGTAAGTTTTTATTTTACTTTCTCTCCCGATTCCGGCGATTTCTGCGCCACCGCACCGGGGCGCTCCCTTTTAATGCTGAGCCGACCTTATGGGGCTGGCCCGGGACCCCGGTTGCGTTTGTGAACGGGCGCCTACTCCGCACGTCGGTAGCGCATCTCCACGCTGGAGTGGCAGAAGGCGCGTGGGACGCGCTCACCGGCGGCTCGGTTGAATCTCGCGACCGGGGGTTTGTCCTTTCCCCGCTCGTGGCGCTAGCCCGGCTCCGTCGTGCCGATCGGACCCCCCCGTCGAGGCCGCGCCGGGCACCCGCGCGCGAGCGCACAAATCGCGAGTTTGGTGCTGTGACGTGAAGTTGCGCGTGCCCTTGTCCCAAAACAAAACAAAAAAAAAACGGTGCTGAGGCTGCACTTTACACTCCCGGTACACGAGTCCGTGCGCTTGACTTCTTAGGCACCGTGCGTACGTAGCCAACCGTGCGAACGTGTGGATGTGGATGTGTGTGTGTGTCTACGTTGAACTTCTTTGGCACCGTACGTACGTAGCCAACCGTGCTAGTCTGTGTGTGTACGTTGAACTTCTTTGGCACCGTACGTACGTAGCCAACCGTGCGAACGTGTGGATGTGTGTGTGTGTGTGTACGTTGAACTTCTTTGGCACCGTACATACGTAGCCAACCGTGCGAACGTGTGGATGTGTGTGTGTGTGTACGTTGAACTTCTTTGGCACCGTACGTACGTAGCCAACCGTGCTAGTCTGTGTGTGTGTACGTTGAACTTCTTTGGCACCGTACGTACGTAGCCAACCGTGCGAACGTGTGGATGTGTGTGTGTGTACGTTGAACTTCTTTGGCACCGTACGTACGTAGCCAACCGTGCTAGTCTGAGTGTGTGTACGTTGAACTTCTTTCGCACCGGACTGTAGCCAACCGCGTTAACCGGAGGTGCGGGCGGGCGGGCGGGCGGGCGGGTGGGGAAGACGAAAAACTAAACAACAACAACAACAAACAACGAGAAGCAGTTTTAAAGAAATGCGTTAATCAATGTAGACGGTGACTTGAAAGTGCATCGCAGCTCCTAGAGGCTTCCTAATGTGGTGGCAGTGGCAGAGCTGGGGGGGGGGTGGAGTTGGGAGTTGTGGGGGTTGGTGGGGGTACGGGGGGGGGGGGGGGCGAGTCGTCGCTGTGCCAAGGGGGTAACGCGGGAGCTGTGCACGGCCCCCCCCCCCCCACCACGTCCCCGAGACTCGGGGACGTGGTGGGGGGCGGGGGGGGAGGTTTGGGGTTTGTCTCGACGTGGTGCCGGCGGTAACGGTCGGTCGGTCTCCTTGAACGCTGTCTCTGCCGCAGCCGACGTTGCTGATGCTGCTGCTGCTGCTGATGTCGCTGATGTCGCTGCTGCTGCTGCTGCTGATGCTACTGCTGCCGCTAATGCTGATGCTTTTGCTGGTGCTAGTGCTGATGATGATGATGCTGATGATGATGCTGATGAGGATGCTGATGAGGATGCTGATGAGAATGCTGATGAGGATACTGCTGCTGCTGCTGCTGCTGATGCTGCGAAGCCTGTAGGTTTGGTTGTCGGAGCCGGCCCGGAGGCGCCTGAGGCGGCCGTATTTTTTTGGTAAGCTGCTGGGTGTCTTGGTTTTACCCAACACACCACAGCCACCTCACCCCACCCTTCTCACTTGTTCCGTGGTGTTAACGAAAGGTGGGGGGGCAGTGGGGGGGTTGGGAGAGCCGGGGCGTCTCGTTAGCCGGGGCGTCTCGTTAGCCGGGACGTTTCGTTAGCCGGGGCGTCTCGTTAGCCGGGGCGTCTCGTTAGCCGGGGCGTCTCGTTAGCCGGCGTGGTAACCCTGCGGAGGAGGCATTGGGTACGGGTTGGGGGGGGGGGCTGGAGGCACATCGTCCTCGCGTTGGTAGTCGGCCAAGCCGCCGTCCGGATCGTCCCTTTCCTTCCGAATTATTATTATTGTTGTTGTTGTTGCTGTTGTTGTTGTTTACGGATCGTCTTGGGTACGTCGGAATCCGGGTCGGGTTTTGTGCGCCGGGCGCGAGCCCGCAACGGGATCGCAGTGCGCCCAGCGGCGGGCTCCCGCCGGAGTTACCGGTACGCTGGCGCCGCTCCGCTCCGCTCCGCTCCGCTCGTCCGTCGCGAACCTCACTGCCTCCGGCAATGCCCTTTGGTCGCGTGCCGTCGCCGTGAGGGCCGGGGTACGGGCGGTGGGCGGTGGGGTGGAGACTTAGCTGCCACGCCGCTGATTAGTGGTTTGTTATTTTTTTTTATTATCACCAGCAGCAGCAGCAGTTTTAAAAATGAGTTAAAAGGTACCACACAAAGACAAAGATTCCCACCCCCCCCCCCCCACCGTACAGCCCTCACCGACTGTTGGGGCATGTGCTGTTAGGTTGGAACGGTGCACGAGGAGGGTGGGTGGCCAGCACCACGCTCGGCCGCCTTTTTCTCCCCCAGTGCCGATGTTTTTTTTTACATACCGCACCAGGTACTCATTTAAGGCTGAGTCGACCCTTGGGGAGGAGGCCCAGGGCCGTTTCAGATAATCGTCACCGGTGTTGGCCGTGAGAAGGAATCAAACTCGGGTGTCTGCCGGGTTTGTAGCGCGGGCGTAGCGCTAACCGCTGCACCACCGCTCCACACACAGACTAAAAAGACATCCCCCGTATAGCCTTAACAAACTGTTGGGTGGGTCGGTGGGTGGGTGAGTGAGTGGATTCAGTGGGTTGGTGAGTGGGTCGGTGGGTTGGTGAGTGGGTCGGTGGGTGGGTGGGTGAGTGGATTCAGTGGGTGGGTGGGTGAGTGGGTCGGTGGGTGGGTGGATGAATGGGTCGGTGGGTGAGTGGGTCGGTGGGTGGGTGAGTGGATTCAGTGGGTGGGTGGGTGAGTGGGTGGGTGGGTGAGTGGGTCGGTGGGTGGGTGAGTGAGTGGGTCGGTGGGTGGGTGAGTGGGTCGGTGGGTGAGTGGGTCGGTGGGTGGGTGGGTGAATGGGTCGGTGGGTGGGTGAGTGAGTGGGTCGGTGGGTGGGTGAGTGGGTGGGTGGGTGGGGTC